AATCATCAACCATCTGATATCTCCTTCTTTTCTACCCTATTGTCAGGGGAAGAGGCTTCCCAAAAGATCACAATAATTGAGTAATAACTTCCTTATATTACATTATCCATATTTATCTATATCCATTGCACATTGATATTGTAGCATTCATGAGCACCTAATCGGCTCAACATATTAGCTAATGTCTTTCATCTTGCCTACATCATTTATTAAATGATCTTGATTTTATTATCTTTAACTAAGATTTACCACGCCTTCGAAGTAACCTTAGGTGAATTCCTCGGTTTTTTTGTATCACAGAGAGGCATCGAGGTCAATACAGACCAAATCAAAGCCATCGAAGGAATACACGAAATAATGACCAGCAAAAAACAGGTGCAAAAATTGACGGGCTGGATAGCCGCCCTGTCAAGGTTTATCTCACTGTCATTCGACAAATGCCATAAATTTTTTAACGTGCTGAGGAAAGACAATGAGCTCCAGTAAAATTCTGATTGCATCGAGGCCCTGTGAAAACTAAAAGCGTACTTATCCTCACCGCCATTACTCGCTAAAGCGGACCCCGGTGAATGCCTTCTGATCTACCTGGCCATCTTATAGGTTGCAGTGAGTGCAGTTTTGGTCCGCAAAAACAAAGGTACACAATCCACGATTTATTATATTAGCAAAACCTTGATTGACGCTGAAATGAGGCATCCTCACCTCGAGAAACTGGCTCTAGCATTGGTCATAGCTTCACGAAAGCTTAGACCATATTTTCAATGTCACCCCATATCGGTGGTGATGACTTTTCCCCTTAGAAACATCTTACATAAGCCCGAGCTATCGGGAAGATTGGCCAAATGGGCCATAGAATTAAGCGAACATGATATCACTAATAAGTTGCGAACAACGATAAAATCGCAGGTACTTGCTGACTTCGTCACCGAATTTAGTGCCGGAATATTGTCCGAGGTCGAGTAGGAAGCGCTTTACACCTCCCCTAGGCAACCCGACCTCTGGGTCCTCTACACCGACGACTCATCTAATGCGTCAGGATCTGGACTGGGACTCATACTTGAAGTCCCTAAAGGCGAAGTAATTCGTCAGTCCATACGGTGCCCCGATATGACTAACAATGAGGACGAGTATGAGGCCGTAATCACAGGATTGAAACTGGCCCTCAAATATGGTGCACGACGAGTCGTCCTCAGGTGCGACTCACAACTCGTTATCAATCAAGTTACTGGGACTTTCCAAATCAAGGAACAAATGCTACAGAAATACCGTGCAGAAATCGATAAGCTACTGCCAGAATTCGATGAGTGTCGACTGATCAGATACCGCAGTTGCAAAACATCGCAGTAGATGGCCTCGCCATACTAGCAACAGCAACCAAAAATATCACCAAGGAGAACATGGTCACCCTCCTCCACTCGTCAATAGACCAAGTAGAGGTACATTATATAAATTTAACTTGGGTTTGGCACAACAATATCATGACATATTTGTAGGAAGTAACACTCCCGCAAGACAAAAAGGAAGCTAAAAAGCTTCGAATACATGCAGCCAGGTACAGACTCATAAACAACTATCTTTACAAAGGATACTCGGCGACCCTTTGGCTAAATGCCTAGGACCAAATCAAACAAGGTGTGTGCTCGAAGAAATACACAAAGGTCACTGCGGTGCTCATACAAGCAACCGGGCCCTCGTCAGATGCCTCATTTGGGCAGGATACTACTGGCCCACTATGAAAAAAGAAGCAACGGATTACGTCAAAAAATGTGAGCAATGCCAAAAGTACGCACCGATGATACACCAAGTGGGCGAACTCCTGCACTCCGTTACTTCGCCATGGTCGTTCATCAAATGGGGAATGGACATCGTCAGACCCCTCCATACGGGTCGAGGTAAGATACACTTCCTTTTAGTTTTAACTGACTACTTTTCCAAATGGGTGGAAGCAGGTGCATTCGCCTAAATACGCGAACAGGAAGTCATCACCTTCATATAGAAAAATATCATATGCCGTTTCGGCATCCCCAAAGAAATCAGTTGCGACACTATACCTCAGTTTGTTGAAAAAAAAACGACCAAGTTCTTTGACAAATGGCACATCAAGCAAATACTCTCCATGCCATATCATCCAGCTAGCAAGGAGCAGGCAGAATCCTCCAACAAAACAATACTGAATATACTAAAGAAGAAGCTCGAGGATGCCAAAGGGTTGTGGCCGGAATCGCTACCGGAGGTATTATGGGCCTACCACACCACGCCAAAGACTAGCACAGGCGAAACGCCATATTCATTAGTCTATAGAACTAACGCCGTTATACCCGTTGAAGTCGGAGAACCTAGCCTAAGATACTCCAATGAAAGTGGACCAAATAACGACGAAAACAGAATACAGGACCTCGACGATGTAGAGGAACGGAGAGATATGGATTATGTAAGGATGGTAGCCCAAAAACAACAAGCGGAAAGGTACTAAAACAAGAAAGCCAAAATACGTCCGCTCAAAGTGGGAGACTACGTCCTCAAGGCCAAAATACAAGCGACTAAAGACCCAAAAGAAGGAAAATTGGGAACCAACTGGGACGGGCCATATAAAATTACAGCGGCGGCAAGCAAAGGGGCATTCCCACTAGAAACAATGGAGGGAAAACTGCTATAGAATAACTGGAATGTCGTCAACCTCAAATACTTCCACTTTTGAAAAAGGACGTTGCACGAGTCGTACTCTTTTTCCCTCACCCGAATTTTGTCCCAATTAGGTTTTCCCGGAGAGGTTTTTAATGAGGCGACGAGGGGGATGTCTCGGAGTTTAAAGTATAATTCATTGCCCCGCCTGCCGATGATGTCTCCAGGCCGAATGATGAAGGGACTAGATACAAGGAAACTTCTCCAATGTTTATGAAACTGACATGTACAATACTCCAATAAATGAAATAAAGCAACATTTTACTCAACATTTCACTTTCCTTGATCTTTGTTTAAAAAAAAGAGTTCGACCTCGTTCGAACCACAACGGGTTAGCATTTCGACCAGCTCGAAATAACACCCTTATGGCCAAAGGCCATCGCCAAAAAGAAGAGTTCGACCTCGTTCGAACCACAATGGGTTAACATTTCGGCCAGCTCAAAATAACACCTTTATGGCCAAGGGCCATCGCTAAAAAGAAGAGTTCGACCTCGTTCGAACCACAATGGGTTAACATTTCGACCAGCTCAAAATAACACCCTTATGGCCAAGGGCCATCCCCAAAAAGAAGAGTTCGACCTCGTTCGAACCACAATGGGTTAACATTTCGACCAGCTCAAAATAACACCCTTATGGCCAAGGGCCATCCCCAAAAAGAAGAGTTCGACCTCGTTCAAACCACAACGGGTTAACATTTCGACCAGCTCAAAATAACACCCCTATGGCAAAGGGTCATCGCCAAAAAGAAAAGTTCGACCTCGTTCGAACCACAACGGGTTAACATTTTGACCAGCTCGAAATAACACCCCTACGGCCAAGGGACATCGCCAAAAAGAAGAGCTCGACCTCGTTCGAACCACAATGGGTTAGCATTTTAACCAGCTCGAAATAATACCCCTACAGCCAAGGGCCATCGCCAAAAAGAAGAGTTCGACCTCGTTCGAACCACAAGGGGTTAACATTTTGACCAGCTCGAAATAACACCCTTATGGATAAGGCTATCGCCAAAGAAAAGAGTTCGACCTCGCTTGAACCGCGACGAGTTAACATTTCGACATTAGCTCGAAATAACACCCCTACGGCTAAAGCCGTCGCCAAAGAAGAGAGTTTTACATCGCTCGAACCGCAACGGGTTAACATTTCGCATTAGCTCGAAATAACACCCCTACGGCTAAGGCCATCGCCAAAGAAAAGAATTCGGCCTTGCTCGAAATGCAACGGGTTAACATTTCGACATTTACTCAAAATCACACCCTTACGGCAAAGGCCATCGCCAAAGGCAAGAGTTCGACCTTGCTCGAAACGCAACAGGTTAATATTTCGACATTAACTCGAAATAACACATTTACGGCAAAGCCCGTAGCCAAATAAAGAGCTCGACCTTGCTCAAATCATTTAATAGTCAACGTCATATAGATTACTTGACATCCGGCGTCGCCCGAATTACGATAAAATATCTCACAAGGCTGGGCAGCCCAGGACCCCTCGCAACAAAAAAACACACAACGAGAAAACAGTTCAGTGGTACACCAAAAAAAGTAACTACTCCATTACAAGTGATATATTACAAAAGTTCTTTATAAAGGGCTTAAGGACGCCCCCACAAAAGAGCAAAACAAAAATAAATACAACCAAGTCCTACGCCATATCATCCCCCGTGGCATACTCTTCAGTGTACCAAGAATTGGAGGCGAGCTTGTCCGCATTGTAGACATGTGATTTTTGACCCTCCCCAAGATTTTTCATATTTTAGCACGTAAATATTTAATTTAGGTCTAATATAGCTATTTTAATTAATTTTGACTCTTTTATTTTATTTTATTACAAGAAAATAAAAATTACAAAAAATAATTGCATTTTATGCATGTTTAAGTTTTATTTAAATCATGAAAAAAATACCAAAATATCATGCATTGCATTTAGAATTTGTTCTTAAAATTTTAAAATTAATCAGTAATTATTTGTTTTATAGAAATTCGAAAATCACAAAAATAGCTCAAGTTTACATTTTTTGTCTTTTAATTTTTAGCTTATTCACTTTTCTCTTTTAATTTAGAATTAAGTATTGTTTATTATTTTTATAATTAGCTAACTAGTTTAATTTCACATTTTTAGATAATCTAGGATTTTAACTTTGGAATTTTTAAATTAAAGAAAAAAAAAAGAAAAAATTGAATAAAAAGAGGGGTCTTTCAATTGGGTTGATGTTATACCCAATTAAGCCCAAAATCCCAACCTAAAAACTACCCAAACCACTCAGCCCAAAGCCGAACCGGCCCAATCCCTTCCCCATTAAAAGACAGAGAGAACATCGAATCAAAGGATCCCTTACCTTCAGAAAATATAGAGAAACGGCGGATCTCAAAGGAGGACCCTTCTTCTTATTCTCCTTCAATCTCACTGCTCTCTCTGACCCCTCTCTATCTTCAACAAGAAACGACCCTCCTCCTCATCCCGTCATCACCTAAAGCGCATACACAAGAACCTAAATGGAACCACTTCCATCTTAAACCAGAACCCCTTAGAATTCCGGCAGCCTTCATGAACTCCGTTTGGTTCCGCCAGATCTGATCACCGGTAAGAGATTCTGTCCGAGGTTCTGTTCTTCAAAAAAAATCTAGAAACTGGATTGCTGTTCATTTGTTGATTGTTGTTGATTTCGCTGTTGATTCTGCGTTTAGTAGTTGAGCTCCAGCTTTAAAGTGTAGACCTTATTTGGTCATTTCTTTTTGTCGATTTTTCGTTTAAGGTTCGCTATACTCATCTATGACCCCTTTGTTGAATTCATAGATAAAAATCTGGATTTATTCGTGTTACAGATTTGTTTTGAATTCACGGAGCCATCATGTTTAGCTGTTAAATTTGTTTACTGATTTTCGCTTTGGTATTTACTGTCACATGGGTGTTTGAAAAGCCAATTGTTTCAACTATTGAACTTATGATGTCTGGGTTTGGATTTGCTGAAATAGTGTGTCATACAACAAGAAATTAATTCCTTACATCTTCGGTTGTTTCTGTTTCTAGCTAATGTAAATTGTGTGATCCGACTAGTGGTTATTCAAGTGCATTTGTATCTCCCACTAGGCAAATCAGTAGCATTTATAGAGCTAATATAAGTTGTACGACATCTCCAGATTCATTTCCATTTGCAATCGTTAAAGTGATGCTAAAGAATAATAGGAAGAAATTAAAATGAAGATGCTGCACATGTAGCCATTTTGTTTTTGTAAGGGCTTTTAAAACAGAGGGATGAGTTATAATATCGATTCTTCTATTCAATGCCTCAATGATAGCATAGATTATTTTATTCATATCCATTCAGACTTATTCCTTGATGTTGGTTTTTTTTTTTTTTTTGCTTAAAAGGTGCATTTGACAATTGGATTTGAATCAGCTGATGTGTAAATGACAAAACTAAGCAAGTTGCATGTAGTAAGGTTCTTTGTGAAAGGGACGTTAATTTCCGCTTTTGCTTTCTGAATGTTTTGAGCATTGATAGGAATTGTTTTCCTTGATCATCATGTTCCCAGGAAGTTAAGCTATTTAGAAAAGCATCAATTGTTTGACATGTACTGTTAATCAAAAGAGTGTTAAAGCCAAAAATGATCCTAAAAATGGTTACAAGTAGTCATGAGACTAACCTCAGGAATGAGTTCTCCATTTTCCCTTGAGAACGTGAGACTTTGGGATTTAGTTATGTATTGGAATTTGGTCTATATGACACAGAAGTTGAAGCATAATTTGCTACCAAGTTCGCTGCCATTAGCGATTTGCTATTTGATCGTTTGATTGAAATGAAGCTGTTATTTATTATAAATTGCCATGGTAAGTTATCCAAATATTTCTAGCTTAGTAGGGTAATTGAGCTTCTTTAATTAGTGGGGGGTGAGCCATACTAGATAACATAAATAGTTCATGGCCCTCCAAATATAACTTGAATTCTTTTTCTTTAAATTAGAATTGAGGTGCGTTGTGCCAAACAAAAATGACAAATGCATGGCCCTCGTTTAATTAGTCTTGTTTATCCTCAGAAATTGAGGCGTGCCATTTAGCGAATTTTCATGGCCCTCGTAAAGTTAAAAACGTGTAGTTGCTTTAGGCGCGTTATTTTAATAATATTACCTTCCTAAACTCGGGTGTGCATTTCATGTGACCCAAATCCAAATCTCAACAACGTTAAATAAAATGTGTCGCGGACCGCGGGTGCATTTCATGTGGTGTGGTTCAAAGACATGTTTTAGATAGCGTTGAATCTTCCTAAAATTAATTAAAAGCGGTTAATAAGTTAAAATGCACATAGGTTTAAACATGTATTAAAATTAGATAATGGGTCATTTATAACAGTTGGGCGACCATGCTAGAACCACGGAATTCGGGAATGCCTAACACCTTCTCCCGGGTTAACATGATTCCTTACCTAGATTTCTGATTCGCGGACTGTAATACAAAGTCAATCTTTTCCTCGATTCGGGATTCTAAACCGGTGACTTGGGACACCATAACTTATCCCAAGTGGCGACTCTGATTTTTTTAAAATAAAATAATTTCATTTCGATTGTCACTTTAAATTGAAAAAAAACTCCCTTATATACCCTTCTGGGGGGTATAGTAAAAAAAGAGGTGTGACACGCATCATCATAGTCAAAATCGTTTCTGTCAGGCGTGCCGGGGTCGTAACCACATGCCTCACGAGTGGCACGTGCTTTAATACGCACCTCTCAAAGTTCTACCTCAGACACTTTCTCATCGGCACAAAGAGACTTATACACATCAAGTTGAGCTTCGGCATAAACCCACATCTCATATTAATCTCGTGGCACGACATGGTCGGCTGAAGCATGAGAGGTAAAGGGTTGTAACTGCCATCACACATCCTCTGCTTTCAAAGCGACAAATTAATTATTTAACACAGACAACTCCGCCTCCAGATATCGGATACATCCCTCAAACCTCGTTGTCTCAAACGCAGATGCCTCCGCCTCCTTGTCCCGCACTGATATACAAACACGAAGGGCGTCTTGTAAAGCCACTACCTCTGAGATGGCAGCCACCCTATCCCTTTCAGCATGGGTCAATCCATAAGCCTTAACGCTCAGCTCACCCCTAAGGTCGACAACCTCCGCCTCCCTCTTGTCAAGCTTAGCCGTTAAGACGGCATTCTGCACCTCAAGGTCGGCATTCTCAAGCATCACCCCCTTACTCATCTCGAGTTTATCTTCTTTGGCCTTAAGAGTCGCCTTAAGTTTACTACATCGGGCAATGGCCTTCATCAGGTCTTCATCCCGCTCCTTCAACTCTTCGATTTTCTGCGCCAACTATTTCTCCTTCTGCTTGAGTCCATCACGGAACAACTGAAAATCGATGTCCCGAGTGGAGAGGTCGGCCAATGCATGAGGTTTGGTACGGTATTCCTTATATTTGGAGGCCACTCTCCCAAAAACGGCCGTACTCCGTCTATCCCTCCAATCGTGCTCAGCCTCTATGATAAGGGTCTAGTATGCAAAGCAAATACAAAACAAGGAAAGGGTAAAGTATAGAAAACAAACCCATAAACAAAGAGAAGAGATAAGCGTTTACCCGTAGAGCCATACCAGAAATGCTCTGCGACAGGTCTACATCGGTTATTGCCTTAAGCACCGCGCTCTGGGAAGCATCACATAAAGGGGCAAACGCGTGCTGCCTGTTTGCAATTTGCCAATAAATCATAGTCCACTTAAGGACCTTCCGTCCTCACCTATACGTGAGTATGCCGCTCCAAATAAGCTTGCACATCTTCTGGTTTGATATTCGAACCTGAACCGTCGTCCTCGACATGCTCAATCCCGCCTTCTCCGACAGCAACCAACGTGCCACCCTTGATATATTCCTTCGGTCATGGGGGAACTCCTTGCCAAAATAGCGTCCGCCATAAGAACTACACATGTGCCTGACCTAGCAAAGATGCCGCCCCCGAAGCATCAGTTCTGTTCTTTCTAGTATCGGAGGCGACGTCCTTCCCAAGCTCTAACCTCATCCTCTTCCTCGACTGTGATTCATCCCCGTTAGATGGCTCATCCATAAGGTGATAGATGGGTTGGGAGGAGATCTATTCCCGTACAACGACGTCACGAGAAGAGTCTCTAGTCGGTACATATTGAGCACGACCTCCTCGGACAGACTCGGCCAGGGAAAACTACATCACTGCTGACGCGATGGCCTGGCGAAATGCCTGGACTGGAGCCTTCTTCTTGGAAGCCTTACGACATATTATCACAAAGAGGTCATATCAATAAACGACAACAAACAACCAAAGGTTAAAGCAAAAGGAACACATACCGGATGGAATTTTCGGCCCAAAGTGTTTAAGGAAAGTAGGCCAATCTCGAGTCCCCGCCACATAATCAAGTACGCGAGCTACCTAGTCTTCGATACCGACAATGGGACGGGGTGTACGCCTCATAGCTACATGGGAAAGTTACAAATAAGTACAAAATTGGAAAGAACAAAAGTAAACGAGTACCAACACTTACGGTTACAATCCCACCGCTCTGGGAATCCAGCTGGGTCCGACACTAGGTGCTCGGTTCTAATGAAGAAGTAATTGTGCCAAAATTTACGGCTTGCCCAGTCGTCCGTTTCGACCACCATCCCCCTGGTCCCACGATGCCTCAAGTGTATCATAGTGCCCCTGTGAAAACTCGGGGAAAACAAATGTAAAAGGTGATGAAGGCCAACTTCACACCCTGCCAACTCTGCATACTTCGTCAATTCTGGAAAAATCTTATACATATACGAAGATAGCTACGCTGTGCAGACCTCGTAAAACCGACAAAATTCCTTCACCAATGGAACAAGAGGGAGGGTTTGGCTGATTACAAAGGGATATACGTAAAAAGCACAATATTCCGGTCTATGGACCTCCATGAGGTCCTTCCTAGCCGGAACCATCTCAATATGGGGAGGAATGTTGTACGCAGATCGAAGGTCATCTATATAAGCCTGCTTAGTCTCAGAAACCACCAGAACGGGGGAAGAGACAGGTTCTTTGTGAAAATCATTCTGGGACATTGGGTTTCCCGGGCGTATCTCCTCCACGGTGGGAAAGTTATCCCCTCCTCCACCGCCATATCCTCACCACCAGAAGGAGGTACCATGGATAATGGGGTAGCATTAGAAATTTCTTCGTGTGACCGATGCGTTCTGGGCATCTTGATGGCAGAAGGTATGACGGTAAAACGCAAAACAAAGAATGATGAACGGAAAAGATGAGAAGAAGAATTACAAAAACAGAGCTGAAGACCCAAGAAGAGATGACCAAAGAAGACAATACATACACAAGAAAGGAAATTGCTAAAGTTCTTGAAAAAATAAAACCTTCACTTATTTATAGGGTTGGGTGGCACTAGAATCGAAGCGGAGGGCTGCCAATGGCACTAAAACCAAAGCGACAAGCAATCAGTTTCTACCTTGGGAAGACGCATAATGATGGCGCACGTGGGAGTGACGTCGTTTCCCGATAAGCTACACCATCCAGGATACCGTGGAACCCACCACTCATTCTTTCCTGATCAAACCAGTGTAATTCAATAGCCAAATTTCTCCGCGGGTATAGGCGATGTCCGGTTATCGAGGACGTATATGGCCACGACCTCAACAAGCTGAGGGACTAACTGTATGGGTCCAAATGTGGCAACTATGATAGTTACCGAATAGGATGAGGAACGAGGTTATCATGACGAAAGGACGACAACCAAGAGCTGTCAGTCGAGACAAGATGTCAACGGTAGTGTAAACTTAGTAGAAGACAGTAAGAATATACTTTTCGAATATTCTTTATGTTGTACTTTTTAGGGTTTCTTGGAAGATTGTCCCTATAAATAGGAAGAGTTAGTAAAGAAAAGGGGGATCCAGGAAAAGAGACAAAAGAACACTTTGTGAAAGAATGTACAAGAGTGGCCTGATTCATTGATTGTACAACTCAAAGCGTACATTATTGTTCTATACTAACAAGATCCGAAAAATCCTCAACCATCTGATATCTCCTTCTTTTCTACCATATTTTCAGGGGAAGAGGCTTCCCAAAAGATCACAATAATTGAGTAATAACTTCCTTATATTACCTTAGCCATAATTATCTATATCCATTGCACATTGATATTGTAGCATTCATGAGCACCTATTCGGCTCAACATATTAGCTAACGTCTTTCATCTTGCCTACATCATTTATTATATGATCTAGATTTTATTATCTAGATTTTACCCCTCTTCTCATCATTAATTGATTTAATCATAAGGTTCAGTACTTTTTGGTCAAACAATTATAGAGGTGATAGACATGCTATTAGTTGCCACATAATTATATGCTGAACTTGTTTATATTCTTAATTGAGCGTGCCAAAACCTAAAACGACAAATTAGTTAAAGAACAAAAGAGGGTACGATAATCATAAATTTAGTTTATATTTTAATACTCTTTCTTAGAATGTATTGATTTAAGTATTGTAACATTTTCCAACTTTTTGAGCACCCAATTAATTTTGAGGTTCAGTTATTATGATTGAAAACTCTTTAATTAATTTTGAGTTTAGATTAACTCTTGTGATGGGAAACTCAAAATATCCATAATGTTACCATACTTAAATCATACTATTCATTTGGAACGTGTTAATCAAATGTTACAATACTTAAATCATACTATTCATTGTGAGTAATACATGTCATTGGAGGAGGAAACTGGTCATGTTGCTCGTCTGCTGGTGGTATAACACAAGTCTTGAATTTTCTGTAGTCGTGTCCCGAGCGGGCTTATGGAGGATGCTAGTTAGCGTGTCAGTTAGCCAAGTCTCAAGGAGCTTTTTTACTGCTAGTGGCGTCTTATCCACCACGGATGCGGAGGCTCCTTTACCTAGAGATTTTGTGATACTACAGTGAGGAGGGGGTGACCCAGCTTGCCTGGGGGAGGCATTGGGCGTTGTGTCCTCGTGCACTGCTTCAGATCTCTCATTGATTGTATTCATGAGGTTGGTTGGGATGTCACCCATTATTCTCGTTATTTCTTCTCTGTTACCTGTCATGTTAGATCTATGCATACAAAGAAATGAGATCTTATTTTTGCTTTTTTTTTTTTATGTTAGTGGTCTGTGTTAGTTATAAGTCTAGAGAAAACTAAAAATTTAACTAGAAAATTCTCATAGACGGCGCCAAATTGTTTGACCAAAAGGTGTTAACTTTCGGTTAAAATGATTATACTTATATAATGATGGATTAAACCTAGTTAATGATAAAATTTCTAGATGAGGGTTTCGAAAAAATGACTAATGTTAGATAGATCTAGTGTGAAGTTGGCAAAAATATTTATTAAATATTTCACAAGGTGTGAGCAATAATGGAGAGATAACTAGCAATAAATAATAATAAATGATATTTAAATAAATATGAGAAAGTAGTTCACCCAATAAATGATGAACTAGATGATTGTTGCTCCTGAGCATGATGAGTGATAGATAAATCTAAGAGCATTCGATATATTCTCGGATCTGATGGAAATGTGTGGAATAATATGAATAAGAATCTTGATAAAAATATAGTGTTTGTATCTTTATTAGAGAGAATCTTTATCAGAGATCTGTTCTTATCAAATGAATGTCACATGCCCTTATTCATTATCTTTTTTCCTATTTATATGATACATAATCCCCAACAAATTCTAATAGTACAATTGCAAAGAATATTCAATGGTATATTCTCTTTAATATCATATTCTAAAAGCTACCTGTTACAGTTTTCTATGTGGTACTTGTCCTCGGTCGTTGTTGACGTCTTGACCACGAATCTCTCTAGTTCTTGATCGACCTTGGTTGACTCTTTCCTCCCGCTTGCCCTAAATATTCCGAGACAGATTTCGATTACAAGTTTAGATGAACTCTTGTGATAGGAACCTCAAAATATCGAAAATGTTACAATACTTAAATTATTTATTCATTTGGAACGTGCTGTTAATCAAATTTGTCGGTTAACTAGATTCTCTTTCACCCCATTTTTATTTTACTATAGTGATGTGTCATGTACCTGCTCATATGAATGGACAAATAGTGGGATTTGGAAATATTGGGTCGCGTCGTATGAGTCTGTGCTACAAATCCATTCATAAATTCCATGCATCCCAAATCTATCACGTTCACCAGCGACAAAATTCACGAGATCGAAATTCAACTTTGATCCCTAATTTGGTTCTACTCTAGACCCTACGCTCTAGACACCAGATAGTATAATAGGACTAGTGCTTCGATTCGGTATATTTACATATTTATTTATGGTAAATCATACCTCGAACCAAAAATAAATAGATTAATCACACCTGTACGTTATGTAATATGTTAAACATTATTTAACATGCTCACTCGTCCCTATTAAACAACATTAAGCATAATAGTATTTCTTTAGTTTTCATTCAACGTCCTGAATTCACTAATATGAATTTGCATCCAGGAAATTTACTATGGGGGTTTTAGTAAACGACAACTGTTGTTGCTGTCTTCCTACAGTCCTACTGCAATAATAGGATAAAAGTGTATCTTCTGTAATCTGCATGGAGGAGTCTATCAATACTCGACGGTCAATCCCAGCAAACAAAATTTCTATCAAGACAAATTAAAGGACCTCTGGTTTCATGTCTACATAAATTTCCAACATCCAACTCAACGTCCTTCTAATTACCTTTGCTTTTCTTTTTTCGCAATATATCCTAGTTTCAATTTTTCCTGAATTAATGTTTTCATACTATAATCATTTTGTATATAAAATTCATTGACCCGATTAATTTAGATTCTCCTTGTCAAATAAGAGGGTAAAGCTCTCCCTAATGCTTCTTTTTTCACCAGGCTCAAAATGGAAAGAATTAAGGAATGTTAGTCATCCCATGATTTTTCCCTAAATCATATTCTACACTCCTACAAACACATATATCGCATCTAAATTTCTAAGACCTAGTAAGAAATTTGTTAAGAAAATAGGGTACCAATAAAAACCCGTCCCGTCATGATCACATGAACACTTAGAAAGAGTTTTAATTTGACTACGGAGGAAATTTCGATTCATAAGCTGAAAGATCTTCCTCCCTTGATTTAAATGATTAGAAGAGGAAATTAAGCTCTTTTTTATTTTTTGATTATATACAGTGTAGAGTTAGAAATTGGTAGTAGGGTGATAGTGAGTTAAACAGTGGATAAGCTTGTATTTGTTGAAGAAAAGGAAAACTGACATAACTTTTATTGATATTTATTTGATAGTAATAATTTGCAGGGGTTGCTTTAAAGCTGTTATTGTTCTGTTTATTGCTTTAAAGCTGTTATTGTTCTGTTTATTTACAACTGTGCAGTTTGTAATTTGTAACGGAAAGTACTCTTATGTCTCTTACTATGCATCTACACTGTTATATGTTTTCCTTTTTGGTCTTCGGAGGAGTGAGGCCTTTTTTATCTCACGTATTTGTGAGATAAAAAGTGACACATTAGGGTCCACAAAATTCTACAACCTACACAGTTGTGAGATAAAAAAGAGGTCTCACATCATTAATATCAGTTGTGTGAGGCACAAAATAAAAAATTTTGTCTTTTGAGGTTCACGAGTTATTAACCAATGAGTAATTTTCTTTACACATGCCTCCCTTTGGCCTTTACGCACATTTAATTTAATTTTCTTCTCTTCAGCAAAAGTAGATTTTTTAGTAGCTACTATACGTTAACAGATAATTTTTTTTTTGCTACTTGTCACACCTCCTTTTCACATACCTGAGGGGGTACGTAGGGAGTTTTTTCCAATTAAAGGACAATCGAAACGAGATTTATTTATTTATTTATTTCAGAGTCGCCACTTGGGAGATTTAGGGTGTCCCAAGTCACCAATTTTAATCCCGAATCGAGGAAAAGAATGACTCTGTTTAACAGTCTGCGCACCAGAAATCCGGATAAGGAATTCTGTTAACCCGGGAGAAGGTGTTAGGCATTCCCGAGTTCCGTGGTTCTAGCACGGTCGCCTAAAGCGATTAGCGTATTATTATTTATGGGTAAGACTGTGAAATTCACTACACAGTCCATCCCGAATTCTAAATACTCAATTAAATATTTATTGAGGGCCCCACAATTTTGTATTTTTTATTCGGCGAGGCTCGTCTCATTTATTTTTAAAAGACAATCCTAAAATGCCTACATTATTCTCTATTAAATTTGTCTCTACAAAATAAAATAAAA